ATTTTTAGAAGAAATTTCATTTATATTCTTTTAAAATGATTTCTTTTAATTACTAGATTACTAATTATAAGATAATGTACTTGATTTTTCTTTAGGGTTGTGATAGGTCTTTATTACCAGCTCTTTGGCTTGCTACAGGTTTTGAACGAGGTGTAACAATTGTTATCTATGCACCACCTAATCCAATTGAATTACGCGAGTATCTTGGTATTAAACAACGTTTTGAAGAACGTTTAAATAGATCCATTCAAGTGCGTATCATCTATCAAGGTCGAGATATTATTCCTCTGTATCAACAAGATCCAAAAGAATATACTCGTCTTTGTAAACAATGTCATCCTTCTCTAGTATCGTTTACTGACGATTTTCATGTTCAAGAATTTAAACGTCATTTTGATGTCATAACACGTGATGCAACACGTTCACTTGTCTTTCCTTTTGAAACAATGGAAATGCATCGACAAGAATTAGCAAATTATACTAATATTATTCTGCCGGATGTACCAACAATTGACAAAGCCAAACATAATTTTCTCTTACGTAAACATGGATTTAATGATTTGCCTCAATTACTTGTAAGTTTTTTCTATACAGATATTGCTCATTTCTTCTTAATTAGAACGATGGAAAAATTTGTTTTTATTTTTATTTTTTAATTGAAACGATTAGTTATAAGAAGCATTTCTTATTCTTTATATGCAAAAGAAAAAATTGAGCATTTTTTTTTTTTGATAGAATTGAGAATAGAAATTATCTCATATCTGAACTTAATTTAGAAATGAATTTCATAAAATCAATAAAATACCAAGCTTAACTCAATAATTGTTTTTCTTTTTTTTTTCTTTACAGATGGTTTTTATTGATGGATCAGTAATCGATGAATATGAATCATATATTGCAGCGATGGCACGTCTATCATCTTCAGATACATTACATGTTTCAGAAAATGTGGCTCGCTTCGCACGATCAATTGTATCAGCTATTGATCGTTTACATTTTGAATATAAATATGAAAAAGTCTTTCTTAAATTAGATGCTGTAGGAGCCGGAGGTTGGTCTTGTGTTTCACCAAGAGAAAATCCACTTCTCTATGATTGGACACAAAATGTTGATGTACGTATTAATTATTTAGTTGATTACATTAAAAAAAATGTTCTCGAAGAACATCTACCAACACATGCTATTGTTGAAGAATTTATTGAAGCACAAATACGTCCAGGTAATATAGATGCTGATTATACGGTATGTGGTTTTGTATTAGATTCAATCTTTTATCCAACTTCAATAAGTTTATGTGGAACTGATGCACGAGGTCAATATATTGAACAATGGACAGCAGCAGAAGCTAGTCAAATGGATGATAAATCAAATGATTGGGAACATATGTTTAAAATTTATGCACGTATGGTTGCTATTGAAGCTGAACCATTTTCATATAAAAATGGTATTTATGCTGGTGATGTATTTATTACTGTTAAAAATGAATATAAACAACGTGATTGGAATATTCGTCGAGGTGGACGAAGTACACCTGAAACTTTAATTATGTTAGGTGAACCAAATTATGAAGCAAAAGCAAATATATCTATTGAACAAGAATTAACTTGTGAAGAACTTTTTGATCTTTATACAAATGTTTGTGATCGACTTACACATGCACCTAATTATATGTATCCATTTTCAACTGCTTATTGTTATTTTGGTAAATCGGTAGTACCGAATTTTCTTCGAATTAATGTTCTTGTTAATCCACAACAACTTATGTGTGAAAATGGTACAAAATTACCAAAAAATAAACATAGACAAAAAATTAATAATATTATTAAACAAATCATTGATGATGAATTATCAAACAA